ATTAATAATGAATCGCTATTCATATTCCATAAATGATTCATTTTTATCATATAATTATCTATGAAATACCTATATTTCTCCATTATGTAAAATTATTATTTTTACTAGTGAAAATAATAATACGAATTTCACTAGTGAAAATAACACATTCGAGGTTTCTCTATATAGTGGAAGTAAGGAAAAAGGCATTTTATGACATAATTTGCTTTCATATTTAACTATATGATAAACAGAATTTATTATATTACATGGTCGCTTGGAGATACAAATTTTATCTTCTCGTGTTGAAAATCTCTCAACACTCGAAGATAAAATCCGTATCTCCACGCGCCCATGTAATATCCTCTATATATTTCACGACCATTTTTCTGTATATAAAATCAATTTTCAGAAAAAGTTACGAATTTCACTAAATATTTATCATACTGTACATTCAAATCATAAAAGAGTGATGGCAGTAAACCCGTGAAATGAAAATTGTAGACGGCGGTACATTTTGAAGGTCATTGATCCCTGGGAATCTGTTTGGTTATTAGACATTTTCTTTTACGGTTTTATTTCCTCGCTCGATCATCAATTATTTGAAAACATAATTTCTATGTAATATTTTGAAAAACACGAATCATAAATATTAAAATAGTATTTTTCACAGAGAGTATGCAAAACAATTATCAATCAATAGTTAGATTATTATTAAATCTTGTCCGCACTTGGCCGATGATCGCTGTTAACGCTGTTTTTCTTTTTCTTTTTCTCTTTTCTATTCCTTTTGTTCATCGACGTGTATCCTAGTCTCCTTCGCAGCCTGCCATTTTTGGGAGGGACAGGATGCCCGTCAAAAGGGGAGGCTGGAAAGGAGACTACATGTATCCGTAATTCCCAGTCGTTTATAAGATGAGATCGTTTCGCAACCAGTACAGATAATTCCGGCTACGTGTGGACAGGACTATAAGTCGCTTGCGTTTTGTAGACGATTTGTTAACAGTTACTTGTAAAGGCTGATTTACACGGTACGATTTGTCCCGCGCGACTTGTAGTATACGATTTTCCTACTACAAGTCGTAGGATTTTAGGTAGTGGTTCAAATTCCTACTACAAGTCGTAGGGGCATTCACACTGGGCGATTCAAGTCGTATACTACAAATCGCACGAGACAATCGTGCCGTGTAAATCAGCCTTAAGCGAATAAAGAAAATTAACGTTGAATGTTGTTTACGTTTATTGCTTATATGGGTTTTCCCGAGGTGCGGATATAAATGAAATAAAATGTTAATTCTGATAATGAGTATATTGTGTTGTGCTGAAACACGTTGAGATATCAGGAGACCTTCACGACCGGTCTCACTTAACTCCCATAACCTTGAAATTAAAATTCACCCATTATCACCTGATAATTTTTTTAATCGTAACAAAATTCAAACAATAAGCAGAAAGAAATGTACTGGGCTCAATTCCATCATCATCCACGATGAGAAAAAAGATGCATGATTTACAATAGTGGGAGGAGCCGCTCTATGTACAATACATTCCGCAGTTATCTAGCATTGTGACTAAGTAGCTTATATTCTTCCGAGCAGGGGAAACGATCAACACTGCATTAATTAAGAATGGCTAAATTTCATGACATTACCTCATTTCCACAAACATTAACAAGCATTCTGTTTTAAATTGAAACAAATTAACTTGTCTTGTGCTACCACGTTCCACGATAAAGTTGGATCAGCACAAAAATTGTGTAAACATAACAGTTGACAGCTAGTGCACTGGTTCCATTTCAACAACTTTGTTTTCGAAATGTTCAAATTTTTGAAATATTCTTTGCTTTGATTCTGTCATGGTTTCTGTGGTGATAACAAGTCAACCGTTATACTTCTCCGAATGATGCCACACAAACAGGAACAGCTTGCAAACTCACAATGGCAGCATCTTCACTAAGTATCACTGACGACTTGGAAGCACAGTTAACTTGTGCTATTTGTAATGACATCTTTACTGATCCAAGGACACTAGTTCCGTGTCTACATACTTTCTGCTTCAACTGCATCAAAAGTTGGAACGAAACTTGCGAGAAAGCAGGAAAGAGGTTGAGATGTCCAACTTGTAGATTAGTCGTGAACATCGAAGGAGGTGACATCTCGAAGCTTCCCTCTTCATTTCAGTCCAACTCGCTTCTTCAGCTATACCAAAAGTGTATCGCAAAATCGCACTGTAGCCATGACAAGGTTAAGACTGAGAAATTAACAGAAGATGCTAAAAAGCTTATCAGGGAAGACATGAATCGCTTGAATGAGCTGATTGTTGAATACAGGAAAGAGCTAGAACTATCCGACGAGAACATGAGAAGAATTCAAAGTGAGACTGACACAGAAAAGGCAAAAGTACGTAATAACACACGAGCTTTGATGAAGATTTTACAAGATCACGATAATACTTCAATTGCTATCTTAGAAAAAAACCTTGTGGAGCAAAGAAGAGCAAATGAGGATGAGAAAAGTGAAGTCAACGCACACATCCAACAAATCTTTGAATTGAAACATCAGTTTGAAAAACTAATGTCTGAAAAACAATTTCGATCAGAAGACTATGAGAATTTACAAGTAATTTGTAAAGCTATCTTACAAAACAAATCCATCTTATCGACCAAACCTGTCAAGCGCAACTCAAGCCTGTGTTACAAACCCAACCCGGAAGGAATTTCTTTTATGGAAAATCTGAAGTTCGGTGAGGTGGTGGAAAGCGTGACAGATCCGTCACGCTGTTCTATCGAGTCTGTAAGTAACGTCAGATGTGGTTTTATCAACGAGTTTAGAATCGTGACAAGAAATTCAGAAGGGAATGTATGTTATACCAATAAAG